AATGGAACAAAACATACTTTATTTGGAAGGTACACGAAAGCAAATACAGCAGTTTTCTTTTAACATTTTTTTCTGCAACTTAATCTTTTCGAAATTTTAACTGAAATTAAATAATGCATTAATCTTTTTTATTTTATGATATGCAACTAAATGAAGTCTTTAAGGTAGTTCAGGAGTATAGAAAAAAAATGACAAAATTTTCTTATACTTTGCCAAAATGAAGATTTTACTATGCTTTTTTCCAAAAAAATAATAAAAAGTATGGGTCACCGCGCGATTTTTCAAAGTACGAGTCGTTCAAAATTGCCAAAATTTGATTAGATTGTTCATGATAAAACACATTTTTGTGCATAAAAGGAAATCTATGAATCAGAATTTTGAAATAAAGTATGAGAAGATAGGCTTTATAATACATTTTAAGAAAATAAAAAGAAAAAATCGTGTCACCGAACTTGTTTTCTTGCTACAAGTAAAAAATGAAAATTTCCTTATATGTCCAGTATAAATTTTGTACTAAAAGAGTTATCTTCCCTTAAATGGCTTATTTGAAAAATTAATTTTAAAAACACAAATATTTGGTATTTGTTAAAACATGTTCGATAATGCAATGAATAACTAAGTTTTCCTTATATAAATATACAGTGTAACCAATAAATTGCAAATCTATCTTCAAATTTTCAGATTTGGGCAAAGAACTAGACCGATTATTTACTGTGATGGTACAATTCAAGATGGCGGTATACCCCTGAACTACCTTAAAATAATGGAAACTTTGTATTTGAAAACACTTGCCGACCATGCAAGGGCTGTATAGCCAGTCAAGGTCGTTAAAAACTTCCATATATATATTGAAAGCACAAAAAATTGTCGAAAAAAATTCTGAAAACATTATGTCGTTAATTTAGAAATCTATATAATTTTTCTATGATTATTGTTGAAACATGTACACAAAAAAATCCGTTTGATTGATATAATATAACCATATGATGACTGACTTTGTAATTGGTTAACTTTCAACCATAGAAACGCAGTGACTGATCCTATTTTTATATTACACCATTAAAATTGTATGTATCCACAACATATCATTTTTTTTTTTAAATTATACTGTACCTTGACCTTAAATGTATTTTAAAGTGCAATGGTAGCTATAAATGTATATTAAATTATATATTTATATTTCAGTGTGCTGTATTGCAATCATTAGGGTATGAGGTTGCCGCTATCGCCGCAAAGGAGAGCGAGTCATCGCAACTGTTTGGGACCCCAAGAGGCTTGGAATTCATCCAAGACGTGAAATTACAAAAGGAATTCCGAGAATCTGTATTCAGTTAGTAATAATGAGTTAAATATTATAAGATTATACTTCATGTTTTTTTCAATGGACGACCGGAGAATCAAGATATTCATACAACGTACTTGTAATTCAAAAACCTTTTAAAATACAGCCTACAATATAAGTCCTATTCTTGCCTCCATTCAGTCACGTATATGATAAGAATTATTTTAAGCACATACACATATACCCTGTAAATTTCTAGGAACCAAAGAGTATAAATTTACACTTAATTTTCATGGTGTTTGACACATTTTACATGACAACATCATGACGAAAAAGATTAAGCAGAAATATAACACTTTACAGAATAAAAAAGAGTGAGAAATTCGAATGTTGACAAAATTAGGAGGTGAATATATGTTCCAGATGAATAAGCAATTCGTGCTTCAATATTGGAACCCGTCAAGTCGCTCGTTGCATATAAAGAAGCTGCAATAACTCACATTTGGTAATGCAACAATAAATGAAAAGATGAAGGGAAGTGTACTCGAAAATGTTTTATATTTGTTTTACTATATTTTTAAGGACACATTGTGTATGTTGGAGATAGTATAACATGCAAAGAGACCAAAAAAGAACTAACTGAAAAAGTTAGAAAAATTTTCAATTCGTGTTGGGGTACTAAGTCTATTAAAATATGTCGAAAAAAATACGAAATAAAAGAAACATGCAAACTTAAAAAAAAACATCTTAGGGACAACTTAATTTTCTAAATGATTTTTAAAAAGTCCTTTATTTACCAGTTGATCTTATAGCAAAAATTATCCCTTCTCACTTAAAAAAAAATAATGTGTAAAAGCTACACTGTAATTTGGGATGGGCGTTTATGTCTTTTCCCTAAAGTAAGCACAGTTATGAACAATTTTTTTTTTATAATTTTAAGAACACGTAAGGAATACATTCGAAATATTTTATTTTGCGAAAATGTTAATCAACTTGTTCATATCAAACACGCTGTAAATTATGAGTACTTTTTTTATCACAATTTCTATATGATGTATAGTTTAGAAACTAAAACAGTAGAATATATCAGATTTAGAGAGTCTATTAAATGATAAAACTGCCGTATATCTTTGGATGGTCAACAAACATGTTGATTTATGAGAAACGATTGGATAATTCCTTTTTGGAATTATTGCCCTTAACTGATAAGGGGAACTTCTCTTAGGCGGAACAGACAGCCTATGTTTACGAAAGAATAATAAAAAGACAGACGCAGCAGGCAAACTACAATATGTACTAGATTTACAAAACGCTGCAGACATATCGATCAATTGAATGTTAAAGTAAATGCTGATTACTGGTTATTAAATATATGTTTACATAGATATAAGAAGATGTGGTATGAGTGCCAATGAGACAACTCTCCATCCAAGTCAAAAAATATAAAAGTAAACCATTATAGGTAACAGTACGGTCTTCAACACGGAGCCTTGGCTCACACCGAACAGTAAGCTATAAAGGGCCCCAAAAAATTACTAGTGTAAAACCATTCAAACGGGAAAACCAACGGTCTAATCTATATAAAAAACGAGAAACGAGAAACACTTATCAAACACATCAACAAACGACAACTACTGAACATCAGATTCCTGACTTAGGACAGGTGCAAACAAATGCAGCGGGTTTAAACGTTTTAATGGTACCAAACCTTCACCCTTTTTCTGAAACAATAGTGTAACATCACAACATAGAAAGACACACTATAAAATATCAACTGAAATAGCTTAACTCAATCAAAGGACATATTAACACCATTGAACATACACTGAACAAATAAATTTGACCTATGACACAATGTAAATACAAAATAAGTAAACCAAGGGAAGAATAATAAAAGTAACATGTTTATATATATCAAGTTAAAAAAAAAATATTGTCTTATGGCTGTCTGTGTAGTATTTTCATCTTTAAAATTCTGATTGTGACATCTTAAAATAAGAATTGGCTTATTGTAGCGATTTTTTGATAAACTGAAGTTAATTAATACTACTCCTTCTTGCAGATTTATGTGATGACATATCTCTTTTCAGCATCTGTCAGTTTGAAGAATCAGGCAGTACCCTATGGGAATATCATTAAAAACAACTCATATAGAATGGAGGGTCTGCCTGATGGTGTTATTTTCAAAGACCCTAATTCTTATGGTTTGTCTACTCTTAGGCAAATCATAAGCCAGAAAGAATCCATCAAATTTGTGTATGTATTACCCGTAGAACATGTAGAAGTAGTCACACATTTAATATTATGAAGCCACGAATATTTTTTATTTAGAAACTTGAATTGCATTTTAAGTTTTAGATTTTTCTCAATTTACAACGATTGTCTATGCTGATTTTAGTGCTAGAACAAAAGATTTGAAATAACAATATAAATGAGTTGAGTCAAACATTTAGTGCAGACACTTTCAAATGCTCCTTGAAAATACCATAACAAGTGCTAGGAATATGAAGCATCTATCGATAGTCATAGCAAGGGTATCAAGCTTTATCCTGCTTATTTTGTACCAGTGTCGATCAATTGTGAGTTTTGATAATGCAAATATTTGTAAAGAAACCGTTTATAAGATAAGATAAGATAAGATATTTTTATTCCAATTAAAGGGCCCATGACGAGCAAAAACATGTATTACAATGATTTTGATAATTGACACAATAATGTTGATATAAATCATATATAAATATGAATATAATCATCTCAATTGTAAGATGTTAAACCACAGCCAGATCAGAGCCATACACATATTAGTAAAAATATTAGTCAATTATATTTAATATTAACAGGCAAATATTCTCAATGGGTTACATACAAACATATCTGTACTATTTTGATAGTTTTCTGAGTTCAAAATAATTGTTAATATAAATTGCAATAATTGTAATAATCTCTTGAAGAAACGTGACACCAGCTTCCACACTTGCCTCATCTACAACATCATCCAAGGGTATGTAAATGGGTAAACGGACAGAAAGTCACAGGACATGTATTCAATTTTAATTGTAGGAAATTGTTCATAAGCCTTGATAAATGAAATTTTTTTAAATTTAATTATTCAAAGGATTTTTTTTGACATTTTGTTTTCATAACAATTTTTTAATCATTATTGATATTTATTGAATAACTTTTAATAACAAAGTTGTGATATATACTATATTTCAAGAAAAAAAAAAAACAAATATTTATAAAATGAGTGTTTTCTTGTTCAATGAAATATAATAACAAAACGGTATTGTGACTTTTTGTCTGTGCCTTTTTGTCCTGTGACTTTTTGTCCTGTGACTTTTTGTCTGTGACTATTTGTCCGTGACTTTTTGTCTGTGACTTTTTGTCGTGTAACTTTCTGTTTGACATTCTGTAAATCTTGTATAATATATGTAAATAAGGTTTGTACAAGTAATTCGTATTTTTCGAATATCTTGAAACAAGCAGGCCATCGGATGATTTTTAGATTCAGAAAAACAATATATTAAGTTCTATGTTTTGCCAATTAGTTCATAAAAAATTTTCCTAAACATCTATATCTACCTCAATCAACCGAAATCCATCATAAAGATGAATATATTTCTATTTTTCAAAACGTTTATAATGCATGTGCTGAAATAAAATATCACTAATTTTATTTTTTGAGCTTGAGTAATTTTATATTTACAGAATTAGAAAATGGAAATATTACGGATGTCACGGATGCTCCAGCTATTCCTTTAGGTTGGTATTTTGATCCAAAGTTTGTACAATGTATGAGATTTATTATGTTATCCACTTCAAGTTAAAGCTTTTGATTAGATTAAATTATCAAGGATGAATTTGTGTTTTCTCGGTGGTTTTGTATGCATATGAAAATATGAGTTTTATAAATTGTAAAGATATACAAACGAAATAACACAAACACATATCAAAGTCTCTAAATATGCAGTAACAACTTTACGTTATAACATATTAATAAAGTACATACAATATCATAATGATATTTACACAATATTCAATTTTATATACATACACACGAGTCACGATTGTAAATGATAACCTGTACAATGTATTAACTTCACAATATTTCAGAGTCCATGAATGTATAGAATACGCTACATATATTTCATATTCTTATTCTCAAAATGTTTATACGGCTTGAGTTCATAATATGGCGCGGAATGAAGGTCAAAAATACTTATTTACGTATATACATAATTCGATTTACGCATAATTCGATTTACGTATATACAAAAATAATTACGTATATTCGTTAATCGAATTACGTATATTCGTTAATCGAATTACGTATATACAGAATGAATTCCGTATACACAGAAATCGAATTACGTATAAACAGAAATAATTCCGTATACACAGAAATCGAATTACGTACATACAGAAATAATTCCGTAAAGACAGAAATAGAATTACGTATATACAGAAATATGTTATAACAATGAATTTCATTGGCAGGTTGTATTAATGTCTAGTATACAAAAATATTAACGTATATACACGAAGAATTCCGTATATACAAAAATATTTCTTTACATACGTAATTATTTACGTATATACATAATTGTATATACGGAATTCGATTTACGTATATACGTATTTATTTCTGTATAAACAGAAATAATTATGTATATACGTAAATAAATATTTTTGACCCTGATTCCGCGCCATATACCAATACATATACATATACACTCACACATTACACTTGTATAGCAGAATTATATTTATTTTATATAGAACTGAGAGAAGTACCCATGGAGGAAGTAGCCGATGCTATAGATATTACTATAGGTTAGTTTTTTTTATCCACCATTTGTACTAAGGATGTGATGAATAAAAAAAAAAAAAATACACTGTACGATCTTTTTTTCGGTTTTGATTATTTATGTGTTTTATTTACATTTGTTAAAATCTAAACCGATTATGTATGGTATTTTTTAAATTTTAATTATCCAAAGGAATTTTTTTGACATTTTGTTTTCATAACAATTTTTTAATCATTATTGATATTTATTGAATAACTTTTAATAACAAAGTTGTGATATATATTATATTTCAAAAAAAAAAACAAACAAATATTTATAAAATGAGTGTTTTCTTGTTCAATGAAAAATAATAACAAAACGGTATTGTGACTTTTTGTCCTGTGACTTTTTGTCTGTGACTATTTGTCCGTGACTTTTTGTCTGTGACTTTTTGTCGTGTAACTTTCTGTTTGACATTCTGTAAATCTTGTATAATATATGTAAATAAGGTTTGTACAAGTAATTCGTATTTTTCGAACATCTTGAAACAAGCAGGCCATCGGGTGATTTTTAGATTCAGAAAAACAATATATTAAGTTCTATGTTTTGCCAATTGGTTCATAAAATTTTTCCTAAACATCTATATCTACCTCAATCAACCGAAATCCATCATAAAGATGAATATATTTCTATTTTTCAAAACGTTTATAATGCATGTGCTGAAATAAAATATCACTGATTTTATTTTAAGCTTGAGTAATTTTATATTTACAGAATTAGAAAATGGAAATATTACGGATGTCACGGATGCTCCAGCTATTCCTTTAGGTTGGTATTTTGATCCAAAGTTTGTACAATGTATGAGATTTATTATGTTATCCACTTCAAGTTAAAGCTTTTGATTAGATTAAATTATCAAGGATGAATTTGTGTTTTCTCGGTGGTTTTGTATGCATATGAAAATATGAGTTTTATAAATTGTAAAGATATACAAACGAAATAACACAAACACATATCAAAGTCTCTAAATATGCAGTAACAACTTTACGTTATAACATATTAATAAAGTACATACAATATCATAATGATATTTACACAATATTCAATTTTATATACATACACACGAGTCACGATTGTAAATGATAACCTGTACAATGTATTAACTTCACAATATTTCAGAGTCCATGAATGTATAGAATACGCTACATATATTTCATATTCTTATTTTCAAAATGTTTATACGGCTTGAGTTCATAATATGGCGCGGAATGAAGGTCAAACATACTTATTTACGTATATACATAATTCGATTTACGCATAATTCGATTTACGTATATACAAAAATAATTACGTATATTCGTTAATCGAATTACGTATATACAGAATTAATTCCGTATACACAGAAATCGAATTACGTATAAACAGAAATAATTCCGTATACACAGAAATCGAATTACGTACATACAGAAATAATTCCGTAAAGACAGAAATCGAATTACGTATATACAGAAATATGTTATAACAATGAATTTCATTGGCAGGTTGTATTAATGTCTAGTATACAAAAATATTAACGTATATACACAAAGAATTCCGTATATACGTAAATCGAATTCCGTTTATACAATAATATTTCTTCACATACGTAATTATTTACGTATATACATAATTGTATATACGGAATTCGATTTACGTATATACGTAATTATTTCTGTATGAACAGAAATAATTATGTATATACGTAAATAAATATTTTTGACCCTGATTCCGCGCCATATACCAATACATATACATATACACTCACACATTACACTTGTATAGCAGAATTATATTTATTTTATATAGAACTGAGAGAAGTACCCATGGAGGAAGTAGCCGATGCTATAGATATTACTATAGGTTAGTTTTTTTTATCCACCATTTGTACTAAGGATGTGATGAATAAAAAAAAAAAAAATACACTGTACGATCTTTTTTTCGGTTTTGATTATTTATGTGTTTTATTTACATTTGTTAAAATCTAAACCGATTATGTATGGTATTTTTTAAATTTTAATTATCCAAAGGAATTTTTTTGACATTTTGTTTTCATAACAATTTTTTAATCATTATTGATATTTATTGAATAACTTTTAATAACAAAGTTGTGATATATATTATATTTCAAAAAAAAAAACAAACAAATATTTATAAAATGAGTGTTTTCTTGTTCAATGAAAAATAATAACAAAACGGTATTGTGACTTTTTGTCCTGTGACTTTTTGTCTGTGACTATTTGTCCGTGACTTTTTGTCTGTGACTTTTTGTCGTGTAACTTTCTGTTTGACATTCTGTAAATCTTGTATAATATATGTAAATAAGGTTTGTACAAGTAATTCGTATTTTTCGAACATCTTGAAACAAGCAGGCCATCGGATGATTTTTAGATTCAGAAAAACAATATATTAAGTTCTATGTTTTGCCAATTGGTTCATAAAATTTTTCCTAAACATCTATATCTACCTCAATCAACCGAAATCCATCATAAAGATGAATATATTTCTATTTTTCAAAACGTTTATAATGCATGTGCTGAAATAAAATATCACTGATTTTATTTTAAGCTTGAGTAATTTTATATTTACAGAATTAGAAAATGGAAATATTACGGATGTCACGGATGCTCCAGCTATTCCTTTAGGTTGGTATTTTGATCCAAAGTTTGTACAATGTATGAGATTTATTATGTTATCCACTTCAAGTTAAAGCTTTTGATTAGATTAAATTATCAAGGATGAATTTGTGTTTTCTCGGTGGTTTTGTATGCATATGAAAATATGAGTTTTATAAATTGTAAAGATATACAAACGAAATAACACAAACACATATCAAAGTCTCTAAATATGCAGTAACAACTTTACGTTATAACATATTAATAAAGTACATACAATATCATAATGATATTTACACAATATTCAATTTTATATACATACACACGAGTCACGATTGTAAATGATAACCTGTACAATGTATTAACTTCACAATATTTCAGAGTCCATGAATGTATAGAATACGCTACATATATTTCATATTCTTATTTTCAAAATGTTTATACGGCTTGAGTTCATAATATGGCGCGGAATGAAGGTCAAACATACTTATTTACGTATATACATAATTCGATTTACGCATAATTCGATTTACGTATATACAAAAATAATTACGTATATTCGTTAATCGAATTACGTATATACAGAATTAATTCCGTATACACAGAAATCGAATTACGTATAAACAGAAATAATTCCGTATACACAGAAATCGAATTACGTACATACAGAAATAATTCCGTAAAGACAGAAATCGAATTACGTATATACAGAAATATGTTATAACAATGAATTTCATTGGCAGGTTGTATTAATGTCTAGTATACAAAAATATTAACGTATATACACAAAGAATTCCGTATATACGTAAATCGAATTCCGTTTATACAATAATATTTCTTCACATACGTAATTATTTACGTATATACATAATTGTATATACGGAATTCGATTTACGTATATACGTAATTATTTCTGTATGAACAGAAATAATTATGTATATACGTAAATAAATATTTTTGACCCTGATTCCGCGCCATATACCAATACATATACATATACACTAACACATTACGCTTGTATAGCAGAATTATATTTATTTTATATAGAACTGAGAGAAGTACCCATGGAGGAAGTAGCCGATGCTATAGATATTACTATAGGTTAGTTTTTTTTTATCCACCATTTGTACTAAGGATGTGATGAATGAAAAAAAAATAAAAAATACACTGTACGATCTTTTTTTCGGTTTTGATTATTTATGTGTTTTATTTACATTTGTTTAAATCTAAACCGATTATGTATGGTATATTAATTCATTCTGCAAGAAAAGAGGAAATCCTATATTTTTTTTTTTGAAAGATTGCATGATTTAGTACAAAAACTGTATTGAAAACACTATAAAAAAGATAATACTTACATTTAGGTACAAGTGTTTACTCTTTCCATTTCAGGTGTTTCAGACACATTAGCCCATGCTGTTTCCAGTGATGCTGTAGAGGAGCATGGTGTTGAAGTACTTACAGGTTTGATTACAGTTTTTTCTGCATTATTTTGGTTTATATATATATATATATTAGGAAAATATAGCTTGTCTGCAATCATCATAAAATTTTGCATTGATTGATCGTTGATTGCTTAATGTCCAATGCCCGCGCAGTGGCGTAGCTGCCGTTAGGCACTTTAGGCAGGTGCCTACACATAAGTTTTTCACAAATTTTTTTTATTAAAAAAAAACAAAAAACAACGTTATCTGTAGACGCACGCTAGTGAAGTCGTCAAAACTCTTTAATAATCGAATGTCATGTGTACACTAGTCTATCATCCTTAGTGAATGGAGTATTGGATAGAATTGTATGTCATTATATTCCCCCTTATATAGAAACTATAAACTAGAACTTTGGTTCAGATCATTTCACTTCTATCAACAAATACTGGAATGAACCTCAACTTAGACACATGATTTTTTTTAATTAGTTGTTGTTGGCTTTCAACTAGCTTTCCACTTGTTCTTCATCCGATCTACAATAAAACTCTTGCCAAAGTTGGGCGTTCGTTCGTTCTGTGCAGGATGTATAAATACACAGTCACGTCTGGTCAGAATGGAGACGTTAAATCCGATACCTAGTGTAGAGAGAATGCCACGCTCTCTGCACGTTAAGAAACTTGCAACAACTCTTTGAGGGGTTCGTAAGTTTACTGAAAGGCAAAATTTCTGTTTCTATCCAATAAACCCTCATTTTCCAAATGCATGGCGTTTCCAATTTTCCAGACCTTCGTCCTGGATGACCCCTATTACAGGACCTAGCTACCTGTTGTATTTATTGTAAATTTGTTTTTGTCCTGAACATGCATGAACTATTTGCAACTGTATGTTTAGCAATCAATCAATCAATCAACTAGCTTTCAGTAACTTTGAGTACTCTCAGATCTACGTGTAATGACCATAATTATTCAAATTCCTAAGCAGGTAGGGATTTTATAGTACAGGATATAAGGAAATATGAATTTCTTGAATTTATTTCGATAGTATGAACAGAACAGAACTTCTGCATGAGGCATCGACTGTGTGTGTATGTGTTTGTGTAGCCAGGGGACGGTGAAGGTTTCTTTTAAATGAAGGATAGTCAATATGTACTATCAATTGACGTATATATACCAATTATCCTCAATCAGAAAGGAATAGCTATAAAAATACTATAAACAGGTTGTGCTGCTTAATAAAGGGCTACTCTTATCCACGCTGGGCAATGCATATTGTAAATATTTATTTTTAATATATTTCCAATTGTACTGCCGGCTAATTCATCAGTCAGATATAATTGTAAAATTATGTATATTATAATTTCTTCGAAATTTTTTTCATAGATATAGGAAGATGTGGTATGAGTGCCAATGAGACAACTCTCCATCCAAGTAACAATTTATAAAAGTAAACCATTATAGGTCAAGGTACGGCCTTCAACACGGAGCATTGGCTCACACCGAACAGCAAGCTATAAAGGGCCCCCAAAAATTACTAGTGTAAAACCATTCAAACGGGACATGTATATTATCATGATAAAATGACTAGTTTTCATGTTTTTTTGTCATAAAATTTGGCAACTGAAATGCTGAAACCCGTTTTCCGTCTGGGGGCTTCGCCCCCCTTAACCCCATACCAGGGCACTTCCCTGGACCCGCTGGGGGCCTTGAGCGGCCCCCAAACCCCCTGCCGCAATTTGTGCCTGCAGTTTATTGGATACCTAGCTACGCCCCTGAATGGCAAATAGTTCATGCATGTTCAGGATGAAACTTAGTACGAAGTTAGAATTTTAATGCAGCATTTGAAGTTTAATGTTAATGATTGTGTTAGATGTGATGTTTGATTATACAATAAGTTATACTAATACCTGATTTTTATTTTATGTAGATCTGAGTAACATGCACATGGAGGAAATCACAGGTGCTCCAGAGATTCCATTAGGTTAGTAATTTGATCCAAACTTTCTTTAGTTTCTTTTGTTAACTTTCTTGACATCAGACTCGGACTTCTTTTGAACTGAGTTTTACTGTGTGTATTGTTGTGTGTTTGCTTTTTCTACACTGGCTAGAGGTATAGGAGGAGGAGTGAGATCTCAAAAAACATGTTTAAACCCGCCGCATTTTTGCGCCTGTCCCAAGTCAGGAGCCTCTGGCCTTTGTTGGTCTTGTACGATTTTTAATTTTAGTTTCTTGTGTATATTTCAGAATTCATTTCGTTGCTATAACCTAAAAGTCAATTTATAGTCGTATGATTATGTTACCAAATATTTTATTATTACAATGACAGCTGGCAAACATTAATCTTTAAGTGTTTATCCTTTCATTTCAGATGTTTTAGATTCATTAGCTGCAACAATTCATGGTGATGCTGTAGAGGAGCAAACAAGTGTTATTATACCTAAAGGTTTGTTTTGCTATCTTCCTTTAATTGCTGTTTGGGCTCAACACTGTATTGGCCGGATGAATTATAAAGTGGTTGTTTTTACCTAATTGATGAAATCACTTCCTTGTTTTTTCCATCTCAGATCCCCGAATGTTCATAAATAGATAGCACAAGTTGAAGCTATTATAGAATTGTTTGGGGCATTTTTTTACAATAAGACTTAGTTATATTTTAACAAAATTTATAGAAGAGTGTACAAGATTCGTATCATTAACTGGTACAGTTTTGAACCCAACTTTTAAGTTGTGCATCTGATAAGCATCTAATATAATGGAATTGTTAAAGAAATTATTCAATTTTAAGAGAAAAAAATAGAACATTCACAGAACGATTGCACATTTTTTATATTAATGAATTGTTTGATAAGTGTGAGGGGTTTTCAAAACACTTGTAGACAATTACAATGAATTTCTTCTAAAGATATAAACAAGAAGATGTGGTATAATTGCCAATGCAACAATTCTCCACCATAGACCAAATGACACGGAGCCTATCTAAATTTGAATATGTACAAGTCATAAGACATGGTATAATGAACATTTGAGTTAATCAATTTATGAATAATATTTTGTTTATTTCATTTTTTTCCTTTATTTCAGAAGAAGAAGAGTCAAATGACATGTGCAAAGTGTCCAGTCTTCTTGCCAAAAAGAAAATTGGAAGAAAACAGTTCTTTTTGGTGCACTGGGAAGGATATGAATCTTCCGAAGCTACCTGGGAACCAAGAAAGAACATTCCAAATTATTTCATAAAATGTTTTAATAAAAATCTAACAAAAAAGTGAAAATAAACTATCTTATTGTTTAGGGCTGCATACAGTTATTTCTCCTTTTTAGTTAAGTTTTACCCTTGTCCGTCTGTACGTTCGTCCGTACGTCCCCAAATTGGTTTCCGTTCTCTAACTTTAGTTTTCCTCAACCAAATGTTATGAAACTTATACACAATGCTTATAACCACAAAACACAGATCAAGTTTGAATTTTGTGGTGTCACTTTTACCGTTCTTGAGTTATGCCACTTTACAAATGGAAAAAATGCATATTTGCGACTGTACATCAAGCAATCAACCACCAAGATTTAATGTATGTGTTGCAAATGATTATGTTTAATATAAACAACTGACAACTGACATTGACCACAAACCGTTGCCTGTACATACCGGGCTACTTAATCAATAGTTAGAGCACTGAGAAACTAGTCTAGTAAAAACTGGCAAACCCTTGTCAGTCTGTACGTACGTCCGTACGTCCCCAAATTGGTTTCCTTTCTTTAACTTTAGTTCTCCTCAACCTAATGTTTTGAAACTTATACACAATGCAACCACAAAACACAGATCAAGTTTGAATTTTGGTGGTTTCATGTTTACCGTTCTTGAGTTATGCCCCTTTACAAATGGAAAAATTGCTAAATTTTTTGTTTCCGTTCTCTTTCTTTAGTTTGTCTCAACCAAATGTTATGAAACTTATACACAATGCTCATTACTACAAAATACAGATCAAGTTTGAATTTTGGTGGTGTCACTTATACCGTTCTATAGTTATGTCCCTTTACAAATGGAAACATTGCTTAACTTTTCATTTCCATTCTCCTACTTTAGTTTGACTCAACCAAATGTTATGAAATGTATACACAATGCTTATTACCACAAAACACAGATCAAGTAGAAATTTGTGTAGCGTCACTTTTACAATTCTTGAGTTATGTCCCTTTATAACATTATATCCAAGCGGGGGCATCATATGATTGTGTCCCATGGACACATTCCTCATTTATTCGTTTTGTTCTCTAACGTAAGTTAGCCTCCAGCAAATGTTATGAAACGTATAACCAATGCTTATTACCACAAAACACAGATTAAGCACACAATTGGGTAGTGTCTCTTTTGCCGTTCTTTAGTTATGCTCATCTATAATCATATATGCAAGCAGGGTTATCATCTGTGTCCCATGGACACATATCCCATTTATCTTATCTTGTGTCTGTTTACCCATCATTAAATGTCGTAAACCTTTGTGCATAAATATTGAGGACATATTAGAGCTTAAAGTTTTATCAAGTGGACAAGTTTTCTGCCAATAACAATTGTTGGACATGTTAAATTTGGGAGAGTACTGTTTGTTTACATGTTCGTTAGTAACAGGAAACACTTATGGGAAGTCAATGATACGTGGTATGTACGTGTTCTATAATATAGTTG